AGTAAGCTAACCTTGTCAGGAAATGCCTGTCTGCCAAACACAGCCTCATGCACACAGCTAACACAGCTAAAACCCCTTTATTGCTTGCAAAAGCCTGTTCCCTTGCAGGGAACCATCCTAAGAGTGCAACAAGCCAGTATGGAATTGGAATTCTGAGGTCTTATTCCCCAAAAGAGTGAGGGGCACTCCTGTGCTAGCTACACTCCCAAGATGAGGGATGGGCTTGCTCAGTGCCTTGCAGGATCAGGGTTATAAATGTTTGCACTGCACCAATGGATGTGACTCTGATGGAGTCACTGGTGATGCCCATGGGGTCTAAGGACCACGTACAGAGACAGTTCTTGTGTCTCCCTGACAAACAGGACCTTCACTGCAGGTTCCAAAGTCATGAGCAAAAACACAGAACTGTCTCCTGGTGCAGTGGCAGGGTTTTGTGAGCAAATACTGTTTGGGAAGGAACTTCTCAGGCTTTGGGTGTAGAACTCTGTCTCTGCTCATCATCATGTCCTGCCATTCCATTCCTATTTGCTATTAGTCATAAAAAAAGGAGTGATAAAAAGGTAAATGAAAGAGAGGAAATGAAAACTGGGAGAGTAAGCACAACCTGGCAGATGAAAGGAGCAGAGTTATTCATTGTGAATATTTTGAATGAGTTTTGTGGCTCTTGGTACAAAATGGCATTTTTAAGTGTCTTCTGTCTGGTAGTAAGAATGGGAAGAAGCTATAGTAATTCTTTCTTTCCTTTGGTCTGTCAAAGCCTAACCTCTTGGGTCTGGTTCCATTGATTTGATGATTCATTTATTATACAGTCTAAAGTTTTAACTCTCAGGGGAAAATGACCAAAAGATGAGGTTGTCTAGACCCAGAGCAAATTAAAGTGGGAATGAAAAACTTTTGAAATACAGATGTTTAAGCTTTAATGAAGATTCTGAAAGAAGATGTCATTCAGGACATTACAAGAAAGGGATCTTGGGCAGCATCGGCATACTGGAAGCAGAAACCTTTTTACAGCACGTACCATTAGTGAAGGCTCAGCACACCAGGTGTCAAAGACCATATAAAAACTCTTTTGAGTCATAGGTAAGAGTTTCCATTGACTTCAGTGGGCTTTGGATAGTGTCTCTCTTGCAGAGTCTTAATCCTTTGTGTTTTCCCAGATCACTGCTGTAGAAATGATTGCAACAGCCAACAACAAGGGAGGCTTACAGCTCCCAAACAGCAGGCAGCAGGTGAGCTCTTACGAGCAAGATCTTATTTTCATGCAAATGACCTTAGTAAGTGAGAATGAGGAACTGGAGGAAAAAAACACCTTGAATAGGAGACACAAATGGAATTGTTTTTCAATTGAACCTTTCAGTGTTTGCCTTTATGCCTCACACAAGACATTTATTGTGAAGCAATGAATTAAAATTAATCGCTCTTGATAGTAATGCCTGATCAAAATAAATCCAGCCTCTTAGATATCTGTCAGGAGGTTCCAAGTCCTCACTGATTGTGAGGTTACTAGAGGGCCAGAGGGAAACTGAGGGCATGGGCCATGTGGTATCATCATCTTCCTTTCACATCCCCCTTTGTAGTATTTCATTAACTAAGTCATTAGCAGTAAGAGAGTCAGTGTTAACCTGCTATGCTCAGGTAGTCTTCTGGGATAATGGGTTCCCTCTACCCTGGGAATTGTAGTGGAAGACAACGGGATAGTGTCTCATTAATTCCTTGAGGCATTCCCAGCCTGCTGCTGAGGAGAAAGTGAAATATTAAGTGAAATGTTCCCTTTATGTACAATATAAAATATGGACAACTGAGCCAGTGGCAGAAGTCCCATTGCCTTTGAAACATCAGAATTTCATCGTTGTATGTAAACTCCTGTGTATCTTATTTCACAGTATTTAGATACTACCCTGCAAGACTCTGAGATACTACCCTGTGGCCTCTGAGATTTTTTCAGCAGTATCACAATACAAAATGGTATTTACATGTAAACATTTCAATTTATATTGTGTTATGAGGACAGGAAAATGCTGTGATATCTTTGCATTTTCCACACCATGGTGCCTGAACTACTAAGAATGATAGTGTACTTCTGAAGCATTTTGATTTGGGTATGCATGTGTGCTTGCATATATTTGTCTTTTGGTATCTGTTTGCTGATGTGGTTTTATTTCTTAATGACACAAATAGGGATATATATTCTAAAGATACTGTAAGGATATAAATTAGGGTGGCTTTTGAACTGTTTGCTGGAAGTATTTTCCAGAAATGTAATTTTCTTGCGTCACATACATTGTAATGCTTTTCTTGCTTAGAAAGGGAAAAAATGGGCTAAATTTTGTGTAAGTAAATGCATTTCTCCTTATCCCTAGGTGTATCGCTGTCAACCAATATAATAGGTTTCTCAGTAGAGTTGAGGCAGATGAGTGTGCTCTGAGTCCTGAAGGGAGGCAGACAGCATAGCTATTTTGTTTTTAGATTTCAAATGGTTTTGAGGGCCTGCCATGAGATGAGGAGAAGTCCCGGGCTGTGATGGCTGTTAAATTACAGAGTGTGTGTTTTGACAGCCCAGCAGAGCTCGAGCTGGGTAGGAACTCCTTACACCCCGGATGCAGCACAAGGGCTGGCTGCAGCTGCCAGCCAACAGGTGCCATGCCTGGCATTTCCCAGAGCCCATCACCATGTTCTGCTGTGCCCAGCATTTCCCAGAGCCCATCACCATGTTCTGCTGGTGGCTGTGCAGCTGGGTTCCTGCTGGCCCATCAGCTGCAGGCCATGGCAGTGGCAGGGGAGCGCAGGCTGTGGTTCAGTGAGTGCTCTGTTAGGGATCCAGAGCCGGCTGCTCCTGGCCAAGAGCAGCACATTAGCTCCATGACATACATTATGCTAGCGACAGCAAAGTGGTCAGTGCCTAACAGGGGTATGCTGCAGCCTGCAGAGTGGCTGAGGGCTGAAGCACAGAACATATGGAGATTATTTCCTGAATTTTTGCAGCACATGTTTTCCTATAAATTAAATTCAGAGAAAATGTGTATCATAATAGGGTGATGCTCGCAACAGCCTTCCTTGTTATGAATTACAATGACCTCCCTCAACTCGCTGGGTGCCCAGCAAAATGGCTTCATGCAATTGAAAACAATAGTGTATGTGGTGTCAGGGTCTGAAAGCCTGACCAAAAGGCTCTTTAATTAAAAGCAGGGCCTTCCCCCCTCCCCACAATGCTTTTCTTTTTCTGCTTTTTAGAAACTGCAGTTTCCTCCCGAGGTGCCAAGTTGTCAAGAGTGTGGGCAGATGCCCCAGGGTCTGCTCTGTATTGAACTGGGTGCTGCCCTTGCTGGGGGGCTGCTGGACAGCAAAGGCAGCTCTGGATGTGGCAGCAGCTCCACTTCATGGGTGAGGGTGGTGCAGGTTGCCAAAACAGCAGGGCAGGGGTCCTTAGCCAAAGTAACGAGCAAAGCAGCACATGTCCCTTCTGTGTCCTTGGACTGAGGATCCCAAGTAATTTTCTAGGTAAATATTTGATGTTCTATTGCCTGGGGCTGGGGTAAAATGATCTTTGCCTTTTCCTTGGGTGTGCTGAAGCAACTGAAGGAAAAATACAGTAAAGACAGTTACTGTAGCTATCTTCCTAAAGCATGAAAAAGAAGTTAGGTTCATTACAACTCCGAGTGTGAAATCTTAAGCAGAGGAAATGTAGGAGCAGAGAAGACTGGAAACTCATAATTAAAATATAAATATGTTTGTATATATATATATATATATAAAGCAATGGGTACCAGACATCAAAACAATCTGGGGTTTGCTTTGGGACGAATCACTGTGGAGTCAGTACAGACTAATAGAGTGTTCTCAGCTGTGTGTGAGCGACTTTTTTATTTGCAGCTGATTACAGGCTAATAGGATTTCAAAGATTTCTGGGAGGGAACAGTTCAATTCTCATTGCATTTGAGGTTTGTGGGTTTGTTGGGGTTTTTTTTTATGTTTTGTTAATCATACTGATACCTTGCCTTAGAATACATTTTGTTACTCTCCTGTTTAGCTTCCTGAACTGAATCTTTCCCCTCGGTCCCTTGTTGCTGTCTAATTGACAGTTTTCAAGTCATTTGGGATTTTTTGAAAGATTTTATCAGCCTTTTATGTGATAGAAGAGAATGGATCACAGGGATTAAAAACAGTGTTGTGAATCTTTTTAGGTTTAGTCCTCTCTTTGTCTTTTACTAATACATGCATGATGTGGCTTGTACCTTTATGTTTTCTTAATGAAAATTAACAATTTGAAAGCAACTCATGGGAACAACCAGTACATCTGAATTTTATTGGTACAGACTACTTCTGTGACTGATCTTCTCTGTTTAGTGGCAGTAATAGCCCCAGATATTTTTCTCTAGCAGCTCACATGTTGGGAACACACACTTAGCCTGTAAATATGGATTCAGGAGGAAAATGAATACAGCAGTGTTCAAAGCAGCCAAAAGCTTAGAAATAATGTTCTGCTGTGACTTTTCCAAACTGACATCTTGATGCTGGGATTATAAATGAAACCATTGTTCCAGCAAAGGCCAAGACTAATAGAAAGCCTTTATTACCGGTCCATTGGCTAATTCTGCTTGTCTAACCCCTTTGGATGGACACAGTGTCAGAAAACATAGTCACAGAGGTTGCCTTGTGTGAGATTTGGCCTGCTGTGTGATTACATGGGGGCACAAAGATACCTCAATGACAAGTGTTCTTTGACTAAAATTTGTAAAGTCATTTTCTTTCCCTAGGCCTTGCAGAGGAGTGAACTGATTTTTAATCTACAGCTTCTATGAGTGATATTTGCTTTGTGGCCTATCGCCCTTCTATTCATTTTCCCTCCTTCCAAGCAGGTAAACTTCTGCTTAAAGAAATTGTTTCTTCTGCTGAGCCTTGGTGTGGTTGACAGCTGTCATATACGAGGACTATACTTGAATATATGTCTTTAAAGCTAGACAGTCTTAAAGGGCTTTAATCTTTTGTCTTTGTACATGCAGGGAATGCCTGGGAGCCAGAGACCCTTATTGTGGCTGGGATAGCAAGCAGAAGCGATGCACCACCATTGAGGACAGCTCCAACATGAGCCTTTGGACCCAAAATATTACTGAGTGCCCAGTAAGTGGAAGGAGTGGAAATATTTTATATATACTGATGTGTGTATGAAGGGAGAAAGGAAGGTGAGTGTGCGGCAGCCTGATGAAGTCTGGCTATTCTAATCTGACTCCATCAGACCTGAGACCAAATCTACATGATATTGTAAAAAAGATGGCCTTTTTTCCTGAGCTGGTCTCCAAAAGATGCCTATAGAAAAGAAATGTCTCATCTTGAATCAGTTTGAATTAACTCTCCAGCTCCTTTCCCAGCCACCCACCCTTCTCTGATGACAATATCCCATTCCTGGCTGTGATTCCCAGAAGCTGTCTGGCCAAGTATAGTTCCTGCTGCTTGAACTGTACCTCCAAGATGGCTGGGGATGAAAAATGAGTCTTGTTAAATAAATTGAGGATAGAGGAGAAATTGTCATTAATGTTCACTGTTATTATCTAACGTCAATTAGCATGTTAATACTGCTAAGTCCAGTAGATAGGGGGAGAAGACTGGATGGGTTATATCTTCAGTACGCTATTTCTGTCTGGAGGTGCTGGGATGTTTATTCCCCTTATCTTCCTTATTCCTCAGATATTTTCCCAGGAAATATTAGTCATTACTTCAATCCATCCTCAGCTTGGCAGGCTTAAGTTTTTCACTGCTGGATTCAGAGGCTTGTGTGTTTATAACCCTCCTGTGTTGAACTGGAATGCAGTGCTTCTTGATTGCCCATGCTGTTATCTCGTCCTGCTTAATGCCTGTGTCTGTTGATAGGTGTGTGAGGTGTTAATCCTGTAGTTTGAACATGTCTGCTGTGGTGCACACTAGGGAGCAAACTACTCTAGATCATTGTTTCAAGGTCATAAAAATCCAGCACAAAATATTCAGGAGCTTTGACTGTTCTTAGGGTGCTAGTTTTACATTTGTTTTAACATTCCATTGTAGATTATTTTCTGTGCAGACGCTTCTATTCTGTTACATATGTCAGCCTTGTGCTCTTTGACTGACAGCCTGCCAAGCTGTTTAAAATCCACGTGCAAGTGCTTTCTTTTTCTTTAACCCCTGCCACTCACTGGAACAAATTCCCACTGGTGTGGAGTGGGATGGCCCATTTAAGCACCTACATCAGCAATATCCAAGTATTTCCTTGTATTCAGTGCAGGAGAAAGGTCATGGTCAACAGAAGCAAAGGTCTAGAACAACATGTGCAGAGGAGCAGTGAAAGGGAAGGGAAATGGAATGACCCAATGCCAAACTTCATTCCTGCAAAAGACCTGTCAGTGAGTTTAGTTGGATGAGTTACTGTCATAAGAAGGCCTGGTTTTTCCCACCCTACTTTTCTGGGCTGAGTACCAGGCGCTCAGCTGTGCTGGTACAGCTGTATGTGAGATCACAGTCAAGTGTGAAATGGCGTAGATTAAAAGCACCCCTCCCAAATAAACTTTTCCTAACCCAGCTAATGTCAGTGAGTTCTTCTGCAGCCTAGCCCACAGACAGATGTCCTGGCACAGCTGAGAGACTGGCATTCAGCAACTTTTAAAGCCAGAACTGGCATATTATTGAATTATATCCTACATGGGCCAGGCATTTGTGTGAGTCAACCACAACACTAACACAACTTGACTGCTGCTCTTGTGCAAACAGGCTTGTTCAGAGCTAGTCTGAGCATCTTTGTACATGACTACATGTGCCACAGATTCCCACCCTCCAGCTTTAATATTAAGGGACTTTAGATAGAGGCTTAATCATGCAGTCTTAACATAATGTATTGGGTAATGGTTGCTACATGTTATTACTATATAACATCCAGAATCTCCTAAGGATTCATTACTGAGGTTGCAGTTTCAACCATTTTAACATTAAGAAATGGTAGCTCACAAATTCCACAAACTTAACTGCTCTTCCATGTATGTGCCCATGCTTTATCAGGGAGTCCTGATACAGGACTGTATGTGCTTTACTGGGAGAAGGGAGTGAGGCCTGGGAGAAGAGAGAGAGGTACACTTTGATTTTAGAAAAACAGACACATCCTATTTTGTGATATCTTACTGATGCCAACATGAACCACCAGCAGGAAAGGAACTTCAGCTTTAGCTAATAACCTATTAGCCAAACTCATGGTGTCACTGTTGAGGGGGGTTGGCAAGCCAGGAATTGAGTATTCCCAGTAAAGTGTACCATCCTCCTTATCCTGAGCCAAACAATGATCTTCCTTCCAGGTTTTCAGCCCAGTCCCACTGCGTGTTTCCAGCAAACCCTTATCTTAGTCATATTGCATCTGTTCCATGCTACCTCATTTTCTTGCTAATCAATGGCAGTTTCCCCACCCTGTTTTTGGGTGTCTTGTACCCTGTTGTCAGTTCATGTGGATTTAGCTGCTCAAAGCTGCAGTGCCCAGGGTGATCCTGCGCCGCCCCACACTGAAGCATCTCCAGTGCACAGAAAAGTCTTTGGGTGCTGGGATTAAAATCCATGACTCTCTGAAAACTGAATTTTTTCCCTTGTCCCAAGGATTTTATACCCTGGACAGTTTTGAATGGCTTTTCATGGGAATTGCAAAAAGGTGTTACAAGGACATAAGGTTCAGTTCCTTGCTCTGAACACTAGTTTGTTTCAAGGAAAATATTGCTACTTATAGACAGCTTTTTCCTCTAGATTTGATTTTATAAATGGTTTAAGCAGTTTGACTGAAACTTCGCAAGAATTTTCAGCTTTCATCAAACAGCTAACATGGAAATTTCCAGATTAAGTATTTAAAACTTGACAAAATGATAAGCAGTTGATATCTGAATCCTAAGATAAATAATAGATTAATTGAAAGAATAAGGAATGCTTCTAGTTGTACCGGTAATATCAGAATAAACATGGAAAATATCCTGGTAGCAGGGATTAGGAGTAGTCAGTCTCAGTTTTTAGATCCTGCACTTGAGCTTTTAGACTCTACAAGGAAGAAATAAAAAGATGAGGCCTTTGGTTTGAGTATGGCAGTTTATAAAAGACAAGAATTCCAGAATTGGCAATATTGTCAGGTGAGAGAAGGGCATTTGATCAGATGTGTTTTTAAAGATGTCCTCTTTGTCTGATGGGCACTGTGTAGGCTTCAAAGGATTTGCCTTGTAAAGGTATTCCTGAAAAAGATCAGTGCATATGGGTTTTTATCCCACTTCCCAAGTTTGCTCTTTTGAAGATATTTTTGTGAATTTAAAGATGGAATAATAATCCATATGTAATTTCTTAAGTATAAAAACTTCCCACACTCACAGTGTGACATGTTTATAAATCTCAGCATTTTGATTATGGTTGCTTATTTGTTTAATTTTTGGGTTGTTTCCCAGTATCACTTGAGAGCCAATAATTATTTGTTAGCTTTTTTTTTTTAATTGATGCCACAGGCCATATCATACCATTGATTTCTGAAAAGAACTCCCTGCTGGAATCAGCAAGGCTTTCTGGCTCAAAAATTAATAGAAATGATCCAATGCTTGAAGTATGACTTTTGTAAGGCAGGAGGAAAAAAAGGAGATAAAAATCTAGCATTAAATATCTCAAAGTACTTATTTTGACTCTCTCCCTCCAACTTCCAGAAACCCAACTCTATTGATTTTTAAACAATGTTTAAAAGAGCAAATTCAACGACAACAAAGCTCAGTCATCTCCTCTGTGGGCATCTTGCCTTGTAACCTGCAGCCCAGAGCAAATTTTTACAACTACATGATAATCTATTGCAAACAAAGGCTTACAGCAGATGCCTGAAACCCCCAGCTGCAGCCTGATGAGTGCAATATCAGATCTAAATTGCTTCCATGCTACTGCTGCATATTTTTGATGCTGCTGTAGATGGGTGAGAGGGGAAGATGACAAGCCACCAGAGGTACATTCTGAGTGTTTAGCACAGTGCCAATCTTGGAGAATAAGCACAGAGCAGCATGTTTCAGAGGATGAGTGCTGGAAAGCACTCTTCCCATGGCTGTGATTGGATCCCTGCATGACTCCTGAGCAGGCTCACAGCCCCTCTGTGCCTTGGTTTACTTGTCTGTAAAGCAGGAACAATCATTCCCCCTCTGGGGCAGCCCAGGAGGCTGATCCTGCTGGCCGCAGAGCTCAGTGAAGCATGGCACAGTGGGGTTTGTCAGGGTAGCTGGCTCAGATTTGGGGCCAGGGCTGCTTGCCAGGGGCCCAGCCTCTTCCTTCCTTCACCCTCCATTGCGTGCAGCACTGAGGCCAAATCCAGTGTTGCCTTTGCCCGCAGCTTTACCAAAGCTGCTGAGCACCCAGCACCACACGGGTCACCTCATGGGCATGAGCCACTTGCAGGCAGCCACCATCTGTGCCATCTGCTTGCAAGGCCTGGCACTTTGGGGCATGGGGTGGGGAGCCGTGGGGAGCCTAGAGGCAGCCACCAGGGCAGAAGTGCATCATAGTGCTGTGTTGTTACAAGGGAGTGGCTGCACACAGGCAGGACCAGCACCAGTCCCTTTCTGTGTCATGTTTCTCAAGTCAGTAACAGAGGGGATGCCAGGACAGGGGTGTTGAGGGAAGCTTTCAAGACATGGTCTTGGGCAGCAGGATTTTGCAGTACTGGTGGAGTGGGCAAAAGAAAGCAGCAGTAGCAAGGAGTGATTCCAGGAGAAGCAGGTAGCACAGATCCTCTCCAGAAATCCTTGGGAGCAAGGGCCCAAGCAACCTTGTCCCCCAGCCTGCAGCTTTAGGCTCCCCTAGAAGCACTGCTTAAAACAGGACACAGGAGAGCAAGCTCTGACACCCTGTCTACTGGAGAGTTGTCACCAGCCCTGAAATAGTTCTGTTTCTCATGCTCTTGGTCTGCCAGGACTACTGTATTTTTCCTTCATTACAGTGTGCAGGAAGCTGTCAAGTCCCAGCCTGTTCAGGGCTGTGCAGGTATGAAGCAAAGGGCAGAGGGAACAGATAGCAGTGCGGTCTGGTCTATAAATCATCTTAAGATGAATTCTTGCACTTTAGGTGGCTATGTGATCCTCAACATTAATGCTAGTCACTATCATCTTCGCTTTTTGTTCTTCATCCACATGGCCATTTAGGCTACAGCTCAGTTTAGAAAGGGAGACAGTTCTTACTGCAGGTTCGGACAGGGGCAAATTCAGTGAGGCCTCAGTGTCAGCTGGTCACCATGGTTATATGAACATTAACTTGGAAAACACTCTGCAGGAAGCCCTACAGAGGCTGGAATATGATGGAGTGGGGTCAGTCAGTACTGGCTATGGTGTTGCTTGAAAGGCTGAAGCTGTGCAGTGTGGAACAGGGAGTGTGGTGGTTGTGTGGTGTGGCAGGTGGATGCTTGCTCCTGGTGTGGTGCTGGCTGGGTCGGCTCAGTGCCTGTGTGCACATGTTAGGTATGCGGCGTGGAATTTGGAGGGTAAATATTGATGTGGCATTGTCTGAAAACAACCCTGTGTTTTGAATCCTGCTCACAAGCACAGGCAGCTCCCATCTAAGATGCATCCTAATCCCCCTGGCAGCTTTGTTTGGCATTTCTATTGTGGGCCTGTCTCCAGAAATGTAAACTAACTATTAATGACTTTTTTTTTCCCTCTTAAAATTAGGTGAAAAACCTGACAACAAATGGAAGACTGGGGCCTTGGTCCCCATGGCAACTGTGTGAGCATTCAGATGGGGACAGCACAGGCTCCTGTATGTGTAGGTCACGTTCATGTGATAGTCCTCGTCCTCGCTGTGGAGGTCGCAGCTGTGAAGGGGCCAGGATTGAGGTTGCAAACTGTTCAAGGTACCCCCACATCTTTGTGCTTCTTAAGGGAACAAGATTTGTGTCTGTCCACAGCTTAGATCCTTCCTTGTGATCACATCATTGTATCCCAGCCAAAGTGAGGTATGTGAGGTCCAGTCAGTGTAAAATGAAGAAACCCAAGGGCTGTGAGTGAAGGCCCCTCAGCCAAGGCTCTTGGAAGATGAGCACCCCAAATTCCTGTACACTACACTATGCCTTGGTTTCCCTCAGCTGTACAATGAGTAGTGACCCAAAAGGAGAAGGTAAGGCAGAGGTAGTTGTCAGCCAGATGAACAGCAGACTAGAAAAAGCAATAAGCTCATAATTTTTCAGAGTTTGGGTTCCAAGGCCACATTGCCAAAACCAAGCAGAGCTACTTCAGAACAGCACTTGTAAGGACAGGGCTGAGCCTACCTCCAGGCAAGGCTTGTTTGCCTTGTTCTGCGAGTCTGTGACCTGTCTGCAGCACAGCTGTCTGCTGGGCAGGTGAGAGCAGCACGTCATCCTCTGGCAGCCAGCGGGTGCGGGAGGCGGCTGCCGGGACAGTGCTGGAACAGCACAGGCAGCTCAGCTCGTGCTGAAGTGCTGCCTGCCCATGGGAGCCTGAAGCTCAGCTTTGGCCATATGGAAGCTGAATGTCCTCCTGTGGGGTGCCCAAACCTAGCCGTGTTTGTGTCTGTGGCACCCCACCACCCTCAGACTACCTCATGTCATGACTCAAGGGAAGATGATGCAGTAGTGTAAGCGCTATTTAATCAGGGTGGGGGCAGCCAGGATTTTGGTAAATATTGGGTCAATACAGTTTTTATCTACTTTATCTTCATAAACATTCATTCCATCAAAGACAGCTGCCTCTTGACTCATCCCTGGAGATCAGTGCTGGACTTGGCACCAAAAGTTCAGCACTACTCATGTTTTAATTGGCATCTCTCCTTCCAGTTATTGGCTGTGTTGCCCAAAAGGTGTGCAGATATTCCTGCCCCTGTGCTGCCACCATGGGCTGAGCAAAGCTTTCCCCAGGCAGGCTTTTTCTGTCAGTGGCAAATGGAAAACATGCCAGTGGGATGGATTTCTCAGCACTGCTCTGATGGCAGAAGAGGCAGGAACAGCTTCTAAGAACGGGATGAAAAACAGATTATTCAATCTTAAGACATACGAAAACAGCATGGTTTGAAAAATAGGGACATCTGGTCATCCTACATCCGCTTCAGCCCTCAAATTTCCTTTAATTGACTTCATATGGCATTGAGATTTCTTTCTGCAAAGAGGGAGTAGGATGTTTAAAGATGAGTTCTATTAAAAAGCTGGAGTTCTGAAAGTGGAAGGTGTATTTATTTCTGTTAAAAATCCTGAAACAAATAGATGTTGAGAATTGTTGGGGTTTTCAGGATTTCTTCAGTAGAAATTCAGTAGAAATTACTTGCCCTTTTAGCAGCTGTAAGAGCAACCTTCCATTTGATTTTTTTTCTATTCATTATTTTACATATAATCATTCTTTGGGTTTAAAGAGTGGGGAGATGGTAGGTGTTTTAAAACAGCAGAGTAATATGGAATAGTAGGATTTTTATATGAGTGGATTTCTTGTTCTTTGACTTTGGGGTGGGAGAGGGGAAGGGAGAGAGGGAGAGGGATGAGAGAACAAGAAGAGGAGGGAGGTAAGATCTATCAGGATTCTGAAATAAAGCTGCCAAGAACAGGCAAGAGTTGATAAAAAATACAAAAACTGTGAAGGGCAATGTGAGTTTTAACTTTCATCCTCTGCCCTGATTGGTGCTATGCCAGAAAATATTTCTTGCCAGCAGTGTTATTAGTTCAGTAAATGCTTTGAAAATTAACATCTGTTTTCAAGCTTAGCTTTGAAGAGTCAGAGAGCACCTGAGTTGTTTTTTTGACTAGACTGTTTAGAAAGGTTTTTCTTTATAAAAAAACACACCCCAGAAAAGATATTTTTTGGCTTAAGGCACTGAAGTGTCAAGATTAGGCAGTTTTATAAGACAGAGCATTACCACTGGCTACATATGAAATGAAACCTGCAGCACAAAATAGATGAGATATGGTTCCTCCTCTACTGCTTCAAGGTCCAGTGCTGCCAAATCAGAGGAAGGTGAGCTTTAATAGATGCAAGATTTTGAAGATGAAAATGTTGGCTTCTGTGTAAGCACATGTTTGAGGCACCTGCATGTGCTGTGCTCAGCCTCTCACAGGAGCTTTGCCAATGTCTCCAGCGCTGAGGTGTGGACTAGGGGGTTTTACATCACACTGGCTTCAGGCTGTGTTACCACTGTTCAGCAGAGATGTGATCACTCATTAAACCATGAAACTCAATCCTGCCTTGGAGCTCTTAATTGCCTCTGGTTTCTACAGATTTAAGGTCACACTACAGTGACGTCTGCAGGCAGCCATGAAAGCTAGAAGCAATTATTGTTATTTGTAATGAAATTTGAGATTTCCACTTAATAGGATTCAATGCTGAAGGCTTTAGGAAAACACAAAATATTATGAGGTTTGTGATAAAAACATGGGAGCTGGCAATGATGTTGCTGTAAAAGATTTAAAGCATCAGTACCTACTGAATTAGCAGAGGGTAGGTTTTTTACATCCTTCAGCATAACTGGCATTCATGATCCTCAAAACCTGAGCTCTTTGTGCAGAAGAGTTCAGGACACAGAACTTTGGGATCAGCCATTGTGTCAGAAGAGCAGGGTTATGATATGTGGGGAAGATGATGAGGAAATAGTCAATGAAAATTACACTAACTACACTATTGCCCGGTAAAATCCTAGGAGACATTTTCAGAATCATTCAGCATTGGCTTAGTTGTCTTCTTTGCAATTCTTAAGAGACTTCAAAGGGAGGAAAGTTAGGCCACTGCTAAGCACTTTTGAAACTGCCTTTTAAAAAACCCCCTGATACAAAGTCTGGTTGAAATGGAAAATCAATTCTCCCATGAGTTCAACACTTCTCCCATACTCTGTTCTCTCTCACCCTTTTTGCTAGAAATGGCGCTTGGACACCGTGGTCTTCCTGGGCCCCATGCAGCACCTCCTGTGGGATCGGCTTCCAGGTCCGGCAGCGATCCTGCAGCAATCCCGCACCACGGTACGGGGGCAGAGTCTGTGTTGGACAGAGCAGGGAGGAAAGGTAAGGGTTGTCCATGGTGGTGTGTGCTCATTTCTGTGGCTGTAGTGTTGGCAGCTGGAAGTGGTGGCTGGGAAGGCAGATTGAGGCTGCTGGGCTCAATGCACAGAGCGGAAGCAGCCCCGGAGCCTGGGAGGGATGCGGCTGTTTATGTGCATGGACACTCTCAGTGAGCCTGTGAACATCAGACACTTCAGAGCTGCCCTCATTCCCAAGCAAGAGCCTTCAGACCTCTGCAAGTACTCCTGTCCCACACAGAGGGCTGACCTCCTCCCTGAAGGGAGAAACTGCACCTGCTGTTGGCACTGTAGAGTTTATAGACACAGGCTCTCCATTCTGATCTGTCCCGGCAGGGGCAGCTGAGTATGTGCAGCTTTCACTGCCAGTTGCACCATTCCCAAGTCTCTATGACTTGTGCTGATGCTCCTAAAGCAGTTCAAGACAAAACACACCTTAACTCACAGATTCAGGCTTGAATGTTTGCAGGGCATGGTATCAGAAAAACATCTTTTTTTCCTCTCTAAACTATGAAAAATTCACACAAAATTACTAAAACCCAATACTTTCTGAATCTACAGAGCCATCTGCACTATAACACTTCTTCAAGCTTGGCCCCTTATGAAATACATGCTTCAAGGCATCCCAACTTCTTTCCAGGCCTGACATTTCATTAAAGGCCACTTTTACTTGGCAATAGGCTATTGCTTGTCCCTTGAGTGGTCACTAGGGTGTATGTCTCTGCATTTCTCAGAATAAAAAGAGAAATTCATTTAACTTCCATGTTTCAAGGCATTTTAATGTTTGGTTTGATTTGTGTCCATTCACAATGGTCCTTTTTGGGTTTAAAGATTACCTCTGAGTCAGTTGCATTTCTGTCTGATTAAATTTGAGAACAATATTGTTTAAAAAGCTGAACAAAATTACAGTTACTTTTGACACAAAACATGAAATAGCATTCACTTAGGGTCTGCTTTTAGATGCATATAGGATCCAGTTGCAAACTCTAGCTTGTTAGGGTCAAGGCAGCAGTAAAAGCCAGATTTTGTGAAGAGAAGATTGTCAGGTGTTTAGCATCTGCCACTTGTGACAGATCACTATCACCATTCAGCCCATTCAGAATATTTACTATCCACTCTCTCTTTGTGGCATTTCTACTTCAGTTTGTGGGCTCTTTTGTGGACTCAGTGTTTGTAGAAAAGTTTTGAGAAGAGCCCTTAAGAAAACTTATCTCGACCATTTACTCTAACCATCTCACCCTCACCCAGCTCAGCCTGATTAACCACTCCCATTTGGTACAAAGGCTACATTTCTCTCCATGTGCAGGAATATTGCTAATCTGACATTGTGTCAGACTCTGCTGGCTCTCTGTGCATGCATCAGTTGCACCCAAATGCACTGTGCAGTCTTGCGTGTCACACCGTTTCGTCCCTCGGATGTGCTGACATGGAGTTTTTTGAGCAATGCATTCTCTTTTTTTCAGATTCTGTAATGAAAACAGTCCATGTCCATTACCGATTTTTTGGTCTTCGTGGGGACCTTGGAATAAATGTAGCGTGAATTGTGGTGGAGGGATTCATTCAAGACAGAGGTCCTGTGAAAATGGAAACACATGTCCAGGCTGTGCTGTGGTATGTATTATTTACTGATACTGCATGAGGAGCACCTATTGACAGTGGCATCGAGGAATGGGGAATTTAGCTTCTCTCTCCATTGTGGTTTTATTTCTCAAGCAAGAAGAAAATGCAGTCCTTAGTTTTTGCTGCAGAGGATGCTGAAATGAACTTGGAAGCAGAGGGGGCAGATTTAGGGTAGCAGACTGGTGAGAAATGTATTGCACTGTCATACCTGTAACAGGTAACATGTAATAGGTAAACAACAGGTCCAACACCCCATTTGCCCTCTTTACTTTCCCTTTTCTGTTCCAGCAGCGGTTTCATGCAACTGTCTTAATTGGTTTTGTGGGGTTTCATTTCAGTGTGAGCAGACTTGGTCTGGAACCTCCCATTTCTTCACAAGCTGTTTGGCATTTACACTAGACTCATGAAGTCCTGAAACATTACATTTCTTCCCCTCTGCCAGAAAGAAGTTGTTTATTTAGTTATTTTAAATCAAAACCACAAATGTTTGTCACTGGAATTCCTCCCATTAGTGATGAGAATTGCATAACCCTCAAATCCCCCCATTCCCAGCTAGCCAGAATGTTATCTGTGTTCGATGGCTGCTCTAGACCAAGGATGACAAATGGTTCATAACCTTAATTAGAGAGTTTGAAAGGCCAACCAAACAAAAATAATTGTAAAAATATCTACTCTAAACCCATATTAAAAATAAAATTATAAACTTTCAAGGAATAAACCTTACTGATATTTTGTCCTCTTGAGGCTCCTCTAGGCTGACCTGAAAACAGCATCTCAGGGTCAGAGCAGAAAACTTGTTTGCTGTTATTACTGTCTATTGCCTGAATTATTTTCCTGCCCATAATGAACCAAGACGTCGAAGCCCCACAGGACTTTGAGTCAGCAAAGAAACACAAACCTAAGGGAGACATAAAAATAGCAAGCACAGTTTACCCTTGAGATCCACCTATGCACCACCGCTGCCTCCACACTCACATTTTTTGCCGTGCCCAGCATTGACTTGTTCCTGTGAGGTCAGATAAGGTGGGTGGGGATTGTTTGAGATCCAGAGAGAACACCCTTATTTTCTGAAGTGTAAATAAGCCTCTGCCAGATAGGCTGCTGCTGTTTAATAAGTAAGGAGGGAGTGGTTTTCCTTCTTGCCAGGAATATAAGACCTGCAACCCGGAGAGCTGCCCAGAGGTGCGCAGGAACACACCCTGGACCCCATGGATGCCTGTGAACATCACCCAGAACGGTGCCCGCCAGGAGCAGCGCTTCCGCTACACGTGCCGGGCCCAGCTGCCAGACCCCCACGAGCTGCAGTTTGGGAGGAAGAAAACTGAGAGTCGGTTCTGCCCCAACGATGGCTCCGCAGTGTGTGACACTGACTGTACGTCCTGCCAGCTCTGAGGGACCATGGGGCAGGCCTAGGTGTGGTGGTGCAAGGGGGATGCTCTTGGAACAAGAAGCCCTTGACTGTGTCTTCAGTAGTGTCAACATGTACGACTGGTGTCACTGCAGAGTGGCAGGGATAGGGAGAGCCCTGTGACACATATATAGAGTCATGAGTTCTTTGCTTATGGCAGTGTATAGATTTGTTCTTGCTCCTGCTAGCCTGCCCTAAAGACAACAGGCGAGTAATGAGGGTGTAAAGAAGAGCTGTTCTAAGGACAGCGTGTCTTTTCTTTTTCCCTGGAGCTCTCCTTGTGCACTGTCTCTCAGGTTGTTCCATGCAGGACTGCTGTGATGCAAGGCAGCATCTTGAGGGCACAGCCTGGACTGTCACAATTTGCTGCCCAGGGAGGTCATTTATCAAGGTTACCACCAGACTCAATTGTATGGGTACAAATTTATTTTTCTGTCAAGCTTAGCTGTAGCTCTGGGAGAAAAAAACTCTTGCCAAGGGCTTTCAACAGGAACTGTTCTACAGGGCATATAGATCCTGATTTTATTCGTGAGCTGAACCCCTTTTTAAAAGCCCAACAAATGATTAGCTTGTGATCTTATGGTGTCTTGTTTGTTTTCCTTGAAGCTCTTGTTGATGACCTCCTCAAGACTGGTAAGACCTCTGCACGGATTATCAATGGGGGCTGGTCCTTTTGGGGGGCCTGGTCTTCCTGCTCCAGGGACTGTGAGCTGGGCTTTAGGATCAGGAAGAGAACATGCACAAACCCTGAACCTAAAAATGGTGGCTTGCCCTGTGTGGGGTCAGCGATGGAGTACCAAGACTGCAATCCTCACCCCTGCCCAGGTAACCATGATCATCTTCCTGCATAAAATTCAGAAGTGTTTTAATTCAGAAGTGTTTTCCCAATCTTAATGGTGGAGCAACAACAACAGCAACAACCACAAAATCAGTATTTCTAAGCAGCCTTTTTTTTAAAAAAAAAAAAAAAATTGGGGGATTTTTCATTATGTTTTTTAAAGCTATTGTAATAACCCACATATGTTATCTGTAGTGCTGACTTAGGTTTCACCTCAGCTCAGAGGGTAACACAGCCACATCCTCTAGAGGAAGTAGTATGGTGGCTTGTAGCAATCCTTTGCCTCAGGAAGGTTTGGTGCTCCATCCAGTGGAGGGCATCATGGTGCATCTGCTCCGTGATGAGGAGACAGGCTTAATAAATGTGGCTTAATACTGTATAGAGATGCTTGATGTGGCGGTTCTTCTTGTGAACACTTGTTTCTTCCCCCTCTCCTGCTTACGTATTGTTCTTGCGATGGGCATCTACTCTTGACATCAGTTACCATTTCCTGCACAGCCAGCAGGGAGTATTCTTGCCTGGTTTCCTGGTTTTCAAGTTTGTCCTCATGTTTATGTTGCACCCCTGGTCCAGAATAGTAGTAATAGACCATTGACTACTGTATTCTCTCTCACTTATCTTTCTCCTTGCTCTGTAATAACTGGCTAAAGTAAATTTAAGTGATCTTACACAAATTACCTTGCCTCTTTGCAGTTCCAGCAATTATCTACCTCTGGCAATACAGTTTGTGGGCTATATTTGAAAATGCTCTATTATAGTAGTACTATTATGATTCCAAAACTCAGTACAAAGATAAAATTCAAATGCAGATATGATCAGAATGTGCAGCAAGAGCATAGCAGGAGTGTCAAATATTGCACTCTATGGCCTATAAAAAGGAAATAACTCTAGCACTATAAAGGCAGCTATTAGTACTATTTTGGAAGCTCTCAGTGGCTTTTCACTAATGTCTGTGCCCTTTTTCTGTGCTGTTTTCTTCCCTCAGACACTCTGATGTTTTACAATCTGTTCTGAGTGCATGATTACTATTTCTCTGTGTCTCCCTCTTTCCCTTCCTCACTCAATGTGTATACACAAATCCTGGGTTTATTTTGCTCTAAGTCATCAGGTTATTATCTTTTGAATTAATGGCATGTGGACCTGCAAACCAGGCAGTTTAAGGGGTGGGGGCGGGGGATTCAGGGATCTTAAGTCCCTCCCTAGTTTTATTATTAACCTCTTACAGGGTTATGCTTTAGATCATAGAGTGGTTTTGGTTGGAAGGGACCTTTAAAGGTCACCTAGCCCAATGTCCCTGAAATGAGCAGGGTTAATAAATAAAGTCACTGAGTTTCTGTTTCCTGAACACTGGAACTAGAGGATCTGGGCCTTCCACAGAAAGATGCCATGTAAGCTCCACTTCAGTGCTACAGCACTTTTTTCCCAAGTAAATCTGCTGTTGCTATGAAGTTTCAGGAAACAACATAGTAATCGTTGTAGTAGTATTAATAATAATAATAATAATAATAATAGTAAAAACAATAGCAGCAATGCTGTTTTATAAAAAGTAAAGGAATAGAATGGAGTAGAATATGTCAGTGAATATTAATGATTACAACAAAGAATAGTTTCTGGTTTTGGCACTTTATGATGCAGTCTTCTTCTGCATAGATTTCATTCTGCATCCATCGAGTGAAGTAGATTTGTAGCCTCTCTTGATGTGAAGTTCTTGTTGTCAGGCCCAAATGTCCTGGGGTGCAGGAAACTGCTTGCTAGTGTGAGCAGGGTGGATGTTGAAGGTGAGACACTGGGGCTCTCCAACTTTGTCACAGTGAGAGGAGTAACCAATGGCCTCTACCTGTCTGTGCTTGCTTTTCAATGTCCTCCAGTGAAAGGCTCGTGGTCTTGCTGGACTCCCTGGTCTCACTGCTCAGCCACCTGTGGGGGTGGGCACTATCAGCGCACGCGGACCTGCACCAACCCGGCTCCGTCCAGCGGGGAGGACATCTGCATCGGGCTGCACACCGAGGAGGCCCTCTGCAACACACACCCCTGCCAAGGTAGCCACTTCTCATCCCCGCTCTGGCTGGCTTCCATGCTGCTGGGAGCAAGGCGCGCCTGCAAAATGCTTAAAAAACAAATCAGAAACACCACCAGTTAAAAGTTTTTTGGTCATTTATTCAATGTCTGTTGAGCCAAGGGATAAAGAGACATCCCAGTGTTAACTGCAGTGCAGAGTTCTTTCTCTTTGCCTGTTCACTGGCCCTTGCTCTGGCATTCTGGTGCTGGTCAAGCAAAATTTTGCTAATGGTTGATCCCTTTCAAGTAACTGAAAAAACAGGAACTCAGTTCTTCAATGTGGAAGTTGACCTGACAAACAAAAGGAATCATGAGGCAGCAAACTGTACAGTTGCTGAAGGGACAGTCCTTCCTTTTTGTTTACAGAAAACAGATCAGCATGTGCTACAACTCAGAGGATGGGGTTTAGATCTGTGCTGGTTTTGAACTGCCTTTGTTTATTTCTGATCCAGTGCAGGCTGATTCCTGCCCTTAGGAACCTCAGCAAAACTCTGTGCATGCTCTGATTTGTGCTGGCTGCTTGAGGTATCCCTGGGAGGCCAGATCAAGAGCTTGGAGGTCCTGGTGCAACTTAGCCCCACCTTGCTCCTTGTAGGTCTTTAAGCAGAGAGCTGATATAGGAGTTTTTAAGGCAATTTTGTTCTGTGCAGTGTCCACCAAGTGTTGGTTTAGTCCGTATTAAGAGAACTACAACCTGACAAGCAGGGTATAATGCTTGAACTGAGAAAATTAAATCTACTAAGGACCCATAGAATAGATGTGTGAGAGAGGCCCAGGCCACAATCTAAGATCCTTCAGCATGGGAGAAGTCTGGTATCTACAAAGCAGCCTTTTCCTTCTTGGTAATGCCATGTGTGTGTTTTCCTGACCCTGGATTTCAGGTGGCTGGTCAGAGTGGTCAGAGTGGAGCCTGTGCAATGAAGAGGGCATCCAGTACCGCAGCCGCTACTGCGAGGTGCACAGCCCAGACTCTTCCCAGTGTGTCGGAAACAGCACTCAGTACCAGGACTGCCTGTACAATGAAATTCCTGGTATGTACTGTGTCATCCAGGAGGACAGGGTGGGCCATTTCGGGAGAGCAGGTTGTGCCTGGACTGTCAAACTAGGCTGAGATTTTCTCTATTATAAATTGGGCTTGGATGCTTCCAGAAAAACAAGGAAATAGACAAACATTATAAATTCCCTTGTGGCAGGCACAGGGTAAATGGCTTTCCCTTAAGCAGCTTAGCATTTCTTTTAAACAGAATTACCTTGATCCGTAACAAATAACTAGTATTGCTTCACCTGAATTGAAGCTTTTAAACTTGTATAGCTTGTCTTAGGCTGGGTTATAACAATTGTCTCTGTTCTCGGTATGCATATGGGCAACAGAAGGTTGTTGATTTCAGGTATCCAAACAGCATCCCAAAAGAGCAAAGAATTAAGGTGAGGCAGATGCAGAAAACTGGGGTGTGAAGGTGGGAGATTAATCCGGGGTCTAACAGAGCAGCACTGTTGATGGACAGATGGTCATCAGCATATTCCACCCTGTGGAATTTCTGGAAATTGAGTCTCTCAGGCAAATATCTGATATGGGTATAGACTGAATAATGCCTTTCCACATGCTCTTTTTTGGATTACAGTGCACTGACTTAAAAATCTGAGATCTCTAGGCAATGGTATTCTTTTTCATGGTTTTCTCAGCTACCATATTTTTCCTAAATGGAAGAAGCTAAGAGTGATCAGGTATCAGTACTGGAATTATAAGATCTTTAGAGAGGTTTCATTGCATGTGTTTCAAACCATGAGCTTATAATTCAATTTAGAGAGATTCTCAGCTTGCTGCAGAACATATGAGCACCTTCTTGTGTCTGGAGCACAGAGGGTTTAATTACTTGAAGAAGTCAAGGGATGGCAGAATGACAGCTTTCTCCAATCTTCTTTTCTTTGTTTAGTGATCCTTCCAGCCTCCAGCATCGATGAGAGCACGAACTGTGGAGGTAGGTTACCACTAACTATATATCTTATTTTTATCTTAACCTGACTTCTTTTCTCCCTGTGTAGTATCAAGCAAGCCATTAATCTGTACAGCTCATATCCCACTGATAGCCTTAATTCCACTGGAGTCTTGCTGTCTGAGTCAGACTAGAGGAATGTATCGCATGTCCACTTGTCAGTTCCAAGATTTTTATGTATTTGGACATTTGGATTGGCCACTGAGGGTCATTAATTACCAGAGAGCAATTGCTTGTGTCTCTCTACCTCCAGGGTAAATGGTTCAGGTGGAAGAAAGGGTTATTCCCCATTGACCACTGTAAGCCTCCAGCTGTTTTGAGACAGGTGTTTTTAAATAACCTAAAAAGATTTCAGTGATCAGGGTCTCTTAGACAGATCCTTTGCTGATATAGGATGAGATTAAAGGTTTATACTTGTCCTCCAAGCACTTCCTTTCATTCAAGTTCTCCTCTCTCACAGAAACTGTGTCTCCTTTCTGCATGTAACTTGGAAAGATCCAGTCATTAGTGTCACTTTTCCACTGCCCTGGGAGCCTCTATGATAAAAATGCAGACTGAAGAAAATGGCAGGTTCCTTTAACGTTTTAAAATGCTAGTTTCACACTAATGGCCATGCCAATTCCTGCTAGCATCACATCCCTGATTTCCTGAAATCTAGATGATCTTCAGGCTGCCAAAATCTCTTCTCCCTGTAGAGATCATGGCAAAAACAGGCATGCCACCTGTGGCATGGAAATGTGGCTTCTCAGTTTGCAACTGAGGGCAATCAATGGAATTAAGATTTCAGTCCCTGCAATGTAACATTTGGCTTCCTGCGTCACTCCTCCCTCAGAGGGTGCAATGGTTCTGCTTTGATTTCAGGACCCCTTGCTATAGCTTGCACTCTGCTGTTATGCGCTGTACCCACATTTTCTTCTTTTTCCACCACCACTATTATTTTCTGTTGCTATCTACATTTTGCCATAGCTAATATTATTTATTAATGTAGTGTTCTACAATATTTGGCAAAGAAGCCAATCAATAGAAATTCTGTTGATGCATCTCAGAAAATCTATATTTTCAAAGTGATGAACCAGAAAGCTTCCCCCCGGGGACTCACATGCTGCAAACAAAATAATATTATTTTTTCCCCCTAAGATACAGCCAAAATTCATTTGAAAAATCAGATGAGTGTTTCAAAGATGAGAGTGAAATAGAAGATAGCTTTATGTTGTGACTTGCAAATGTGGCAGTGAAATGAAACATTCACTGCAATATAAGCAAAGCTGGGCAGGAGGAGAATGTGGCAGCGTGTCATGTGGCTTTACTAAACACAGTTGCATATTCTATGTTTTAGGTCTCATGAGTGATGCAAAACAGGCAAAGTTTTTTAGAAAGGAAATTTATTTTTGAAAAGTCTTGTGACATTTAGTAGGAAAATATAATATTTCTGCTGGGTTTTTTTGGACCATCATCCAAAACAATAGAAAATTATAATCTTGCAATGGAATTTAATAATGTGGTTTGAAAAATAAATGTAGCTCATCAGTCTAATAAATTCTATAAGTTCTATACTGTAATTATTATTGAAGTGCACTACTTTGCTGTAGAACTCTATTGGTTTTGTTCTTTTTTAAATGAGGAGGATATTTCTTAACTAAAGATTAGATGAGAGCCATTGAGTAATGGGCAGAATCTGCTATTTGAAAAGCATATCACTTAAAATGTAAGATGGCACCAAAAAACTGCACACCGTGATCAGACTAAAAATGAGCTTCATTTAAAGCCACTCTCTGAGTAGCCCCATTTCTCTGCACACAGGCAAGTCAACACAGCAGTCTGTCCAAATGAATTGGCTTTTGAAGTATTATGGGAAATTTACCGCTGCAGTCGCCACCGAGGCAACGTGACTGACCCCTGGGACAGCTGCCCTGGGGCCAACAGTCAGGGGTCCCCTCAGGCTCTAGGGCCTCTGTCATTCCTGTTTGAAAGATGACAGAGCAAAGGCAGAGGAAAGGCAAAAGCATTTGGAGCCAAATAGCTGATTCTTTCCTGTATAGTCCCCCCTGCACATAGCAAAATACAATAGGGTCATAAAGTTTTGCCATCCCATAATGCCTCTGGTTGCTTTGATAACCTTGTGGCTCTAACAGTCGCCACTGTTGGTTCTGTTGTCAGTGGAGATCTGGTGGTGGACTCAGTGAGGTGATGGAGGAATGAGGAGCACAGTTTGTCTTTCCTCACCAGTCAGAGCTGTGAGTTAGGTACTTCCCGGTGTGTGTGCCCAGTGAGCCCAGCTACAGCTCCTTCCAGAGGTCAGTGCTGGCCTTGAAGGGTGCTGTTGCAATCCCACATGGAGAGTTCTCTGCAGGAGGCTTTTATAGTCCAAGAGCTTTTCTGTCTGAAGTATTTGCACTGTAGCTACCCTGCCGGCACCTGCCTGCAAATGATTTCCTATCTCTGCAATTTGCAGAGAAAGCCAACAAAGCAGTGTTTTTCAAGCACTGCCACCCTTTCCTTTGTCCACTTTATCTTTCCCCTTCTCCAGAGGACCCCTATTTCACTGTTAGCAGTACAAATACACCTCAGAGGTAGTGCAGACATGACCAAGGCTATGCCGTCCCATGAATAAGCAAGAATGCTGAGCACACTTGGATTACAAGGAGGATGAATGTGTATCTCCCCCACCCCACACACAGTCCCATAGGCATTTTGGGCAGCTGACAAAAAGGGCTTTTCCCTCCCTTCCTTCCCCTTCAGAGAAACACTGAGCATTTTTATCCCCTTATTTCCATGACACGCACATGCTTTGGAATCCATTAATGTGCATTGTTTGTATGGCTCATTTCTTTAGCTGTCAGCTTAACATAATGTTTAGTTTCAATATCAATAGAGGGGAGAGAGGAGAGACAGGGAGGGAGCTTTGAGAAAACAATGCATGAACCTGTTAAACTGCACAAGGCAGAGCTGCAGTGGGGAGACCGATTTGCAGGGAGATTATGTCAGTTTATGTTAGAACGTAAGACTCTGGCTTCAACAGCTTATTAATGTTGATCCCGAGATGTCACTGCTCTGATTTGCACCTGTGGTCTTTTCAGGGGAGGGAAAAGGGCTGTTCCTTAAAAATAGCATCTCTTGTCATTTCCCTTGCAGGTTTTAGTCTCATCCATCTGATTGCCACTGGGGTCTCCTGTTTCTTCGGCTCCAGCCTGTTAACATTTGTGATTTACGTGTACTGCCAGCGCTGCCAGAGGCAGTCCCAGGAGTCCACTGTTATCCACCCAACCACTCCCAACCATCTCCATTACAAGGGCAACACAACCCCCAAGAATGAGAAGTACACCCCTATGGAGTTCAAGGTAGGGTACTTGAGGAGAAATACCACAAACAGCTTGATACTGCCTAAATAAATTCTGTATTCATGTCATGGCTGGATCTGGGTAGGTCTGTGTTTCTGTGCCCAGCTGATGGCATTATACATGGGGTTGAAAGGGCATTTAGCTGTGCTGTCACAAAGGGGTTAAAAAGCCTCATTACTGCAGTGGGATTTTGTTCTGTTTCACAGTCCTGATGAATGCCAGTCTGGCAAGTACATACCAAGATACTCCAGCCCATTCTGACTATTGAATGTATACAAATTGTCCTCTAAAAAAATCTGTAAGAGCTCAGTTCAGTGCATTGTTAGTGCGTGGTAAGAGGAAATGGAGGGGAGGAAGAATAAAAATGGAAACTTCATTGCACAAATAGCTGGGAAAATGTGCATTGGTAGGATGAGATTTTGGAAATTCTTTGGTAACTGCCAAATTGGAGTGAATGAGAAAAGCAGAGAAGCAGAGAGGGTTCTGCCCCCCTCTATCAGTACTGGACAGAACTTACCCCAAGCAGCTGTGTAGAATTCAGTGACGGTAGCTGAGTAGGGAGCTGATACCTTAGGAGATGAGTGCTGAAGTGGCGTGTGTTGTTGGCATGTCACTTGTTAAAGTGAGCCTTGTCCATTATCAGAACAGACAGGACCCAGGGTGCTGCAGACAATACCCTGGGACAGCAGCACTTCATTGGATTCGAGCATCAGTCTCCTGGTGAAGTGTGGGATCAGAGTAGAGAGCAGTGGTATTGGTGGAGGGGCTTCATGTCACCAGAGGAGGAACAGCCTGCCTAGGGTCGCTTGAACAGTGTGGAGCATTATTTGAGACATGAACCCAAGCCAGAAGAAAGCCCTGCAGCTGCTTGTCCCTTCGTACAGCTACGTGCTGTTGACATTTTGATTATCTGCCCCTGCTGATCTGGCCCAGCTTCTGACTGAGACCCAACAATAAGATCAGTGGTAGGAGCGTTGCCACAGCCTAAACTCCTTGGATGCTGAGGACTCTTTCTATGTAGGAACTGCGTAATGCTGGGCCCAGGAAGACTCCTGATACATGGCTATGATTTGCAGTTTGAATGCACATCAGAAATAAGAGCTTGTATCAAATAATTTGAGAAGAATCAGTGTTGTTTTGCTGTTCTAATGGAAAACAGTTTGAGCTAGAGAATAACTGACCAGTGCAGTGGTGGAATAAGAAAGTGGTGGAATCCTTGTTGGGCATTGCAGCCTCTCAGAGGATACTGCTGCCTCTAAATGCAGTCTCAAAAACACATTTGCTAGCAAGCTTAAGGCTACAGTTGCATACAGTTTAATAAGAGTTCAGCATCATAATGCAAGTCAGCATAGATTTGTGGAAAGTAAATCATGTCAAGCAAATTGGATTCCTCTTTTAAATTAAATAAATATTGATCTAAATAGGAGGGAAGCAGCAGACATATCAGGATTTTCAGAGACTTTGAACAAAGTTTCATGGGATGTATTATTCTACACACTCTGCATATACAGGTTCAGTAATAAATTATTAAGATAGGTAAGGAACAGGGACTTGATCTTGGAAGCATCAAGCTTCCAAGTTATCCTTTCAGTTATGGGAGCTGCTGTGGCAAAGTCAATAGGAATACCTAAATTAAAAAGACTTGCAGAAATAAAGAAATGAATGAGAGTATTCCCTTGTTTCTTATATAGCAAACAATAAAGAAAAGAGATAAATTTATTTTTGTGACCAAAAGCAGGCAGGTAGAGGGTTGGATTCATTTTAATATTTTCTTCATGATTCATACTGTGCTATCATGTTATCAGATAATGCTAAAATAGGCAAAATTTAGAAGGATGAGGTTGTTCATAGAACAATCTTGATCAATTGGGTAAATGGGTTATGAAATGCACTATGTCTATGTCAAGTGGTACAGTGAAGTAGAAGTAATAACAAAGCTAAGCAAAGTTTAAAATAGCAGCAGATTAGTTAATGTAGTGTCAGGAGGGAGTTGACCTCTTTGATAGATCCATCTCTGAATACTTGATCTAGTGTATAGTAACAGTGAGCAGCTGTTAGAGTCTTCTTTCGAGGGACATAAAGAGCTTAGGCATTAGATCAAGGTTTGAAAAGTCTGGTTTATTTAAAGGAAGGCATTAGCTAACTGAGACTGTATGACTTATGCTGGGGGGAGAAGGGACTTGGACACAAGGAGAGATATACCAGATGGGGCTTATTTACAGAATGTCAGGAAGTGAAAGAGTTCAAGTGCATAAATCTGCAGTCATTGGACACACCAAAGCTAAATGTTTAGGAGCAAGGGGCTACTTGCTGAGAAGAACTCAAAGTCATACACTTCAGAGTGGTGAATGAGGCAAAGAGATTTACAGAAAGGGTAAAATCTATTTGTCAAGTGAAGCCTCCTTTGCTCCATTCCGGTTGAGTATTTCCTTCTGCGCACCTTCTCTCTTGTCCCTCCTTTTCTAAGCTCTTGGCTGAAAATTTCTCATTTCATACTACAAATCTGCCACTCCTCAGTGTTCCCTTGAAGCATATAGCATTAATGAAGTAAAAGGAAAGGCTCTGTGTGCTGTGTGCTGTGTAATTACTTATGGAACTTGTTATTAGCCAGGTTTATATTTAGGAATAACTGACAGATTTTTTTAATGGTCAGGAGGGAGTTTTTCATGCCTTCAAGGAGCATGTCTGGTTTTATTCTGATGCCACACAGTGATGGAAATGATGGAGAAGCTAAAATTCACCTTCCTGAAAGGAGGGTTGAACTGAGCTTTGATATTGGCCTAGCTGAACTGAAAATGTGTATGTGTGAAAGAAAGTGGAAACACATGATAATCCAGATTCTAAACAAAAATAGGTTTCTATTCACCAGATACCAAGAAAACTACCCTCAGCTATTTTTAATGAAACCAAAAGAATAATTGTATGTTTGTATGTGAGTGTGTGTCTGTGTGAAAGGGTTAATAAATCCAGGATTAAGGAAATAGAGGGTGTATAAACTACTTTTCAGTAACAGAAAATGATAATACACAGTGACATAGTGGTAGCAGAAGGCTGGCCACATGCACAAGTCTATTATTTTCCATTCTTTGATAATAATAAGCCTTCTGCTACCATCTTTAGTTTGTTTTCATCTTGAAATATCTCTGCTCTACAACCAGCAGGTGAACACTGTAGAAAGTTTGGCAATGTTACATTCAAATGTACGGCACTGAATGCAAACTCATAAATCAAGGTAAATTTTAAATGAAGGCAGATTTTAATGAAGGAAGTGCTAGCTGATATGAGCCTTGTTGGCCATTTCAGCACAGCAGTGCAGTAATGCAGATCAGATGTAAATACCATACCTAATGGTGACCTATTGATCACGTAGCTGATGCTAACTTGCATAGGCAGTGTTTTGCAGAAGCATGTTTTATTTTTGTTGGCTCCTTTTCCCTTCCTGTTCTGCTTTCTCAATAACAATGTGAGGTTTATTATTAGATATTTTAGCCATGATGTCTTGAAAGATTTCATGCATATGCATTTACCAGCAACACGTTGATTTTGATTTGGTATTCACAGATAGTAGGGGAGAGACCTTTTGGGTCACCTAATAAGCAGTTCATGTTTCATTAATTGGTTGAAGTTCAAACAACACTCTGACAATATTGAAGACTGTGCAGAACAAAAGCATAATGAAATAAAAATTATCTGCTCTTCACGTTTTGGCATGACGGGTTACAGAACCACCTACAACCTTCCCAGTACTGCCACGCCGATTAGATAATAACTGACTATCAAAGCAGCAAGGAGATCCTCTTTTTAACATCTTGCTTCAGCTGCTCTGTGCCTTGTGTGAGTTACCAGAGCTGTGCTGATGGAAAGCCAGATGATCCTGCAGTAGAAGCAAGAGGATGTAGGGTCAAGATTGAGCCCTTGTGAATTAGGATCTCTTGGAACAGCCACACATGGAGAAAGCGTTTGGACTGAACTTCTTCCTATTGCTAAATCCTCTGCCAATAAAGAGAGCCAACATTTTATTCTACGTGGGATTTGGATAAAGGCATCTGCATATTGGTCCAAATCCAAAATCCAATGGCCTTTGGATCAGGCCAGATGGGATCAGTGAGAAATATAACTTTGCAGGATGGTTTTGATGATGATTCTGCAGATTTTCTTTGCAATTGTGCTGGACAGACCTCCCTCTGTCCTTCCTTCCTTCAACGCAGCTTTAGTCATGAGTCATGCAGTAAAACTCTCTGTACTGATGCCTCAAATGAGCTGAGGAAGCACCTGAGCATTGCATCTTCTCTGGCATCAGCACAACTGTTGTAGGAACTAAGGGCCAAACACTGAAACAAAACAGTCATTTTTGTCAAGGATTAAATTTATTGTGGGAAAAGATGAGGTGAGAACTGAGTGAGATTGCAGGATATGGCAATGAAAGAGGAAAACTAAGTGTTTGATGTATCGCTTGATATCTGAATTTTCTAGGACATTAGAACAATACACATTAACTTCAGTAGAACTGTGAGTCCTGCACTTGCCTAAAATTATACAACAAATGTAGATGCAGTTACCAGAAAATGGGGGGAATGATCAGTAGATTACTTGGACTCTGTATAAATTAGAAGCAGCAATGAATATTTTCTAATGAAGTGAGAACAATGCTGTTGGGAAACAAATGACAGAGTGCAGAGCAGACACCCCCTGTGAAGGACTCCAGGCCCTGTGATCCACACTTCATTACTAATCCCAAATAATTCATGGCAATAAAATACTAACATGGAGAGCTGAGACACAGAAACCAATTCTGTCTTTACAAGATGAATCCTTCTGAATTAAACAGTAAGCTGGGTGCTCGCTTTCAACCTTGCAAAAAATAGCAAAAAGATTAGTTCAGTTGGTTTGAGCGTGGTGCTAATAATGCCAAGGTTATTCTGTATAGGCCATTCTCTTGAGAGATGGACTGGATTATCCTTGTGGGTCCCTTCCAGTTCAAAATATTCTGTGATTTTATT